ATGAATACGTCCACGCAGAATTAAACTCGTATTTTCCTCCGTGACTTTTCTTTTTTTGGATTTATCCATTGGTAGTTTACCGAGGGCGGGGTCTGCAGATCATGATGAGCCACCTGCAGGGAAAGGCTCTTGACATGTGTAATAGGATGTGACGCACATTTTAGGTGACAAAATATTAAAACATTTTTATTTAAGGTCAGTGTTTCTGACCTTGTTGTCTTTACTAGCAGCTGTTGTCCAGTTAAAGTCTGCATTATTACGGAGGAAGCAGCTGTTATTGGAGCGATTAGCGAGCAGCGTGTCCAGCGGCTGTCGTGTTTAGAAATAAACGTGAGAACAGACTGCTCTTAACTCAACTCTTTATTCCATAGCTGCTCCGGTCCATTACCCCACAGTCTAGACCCCTTCCCAGGTCGCCCTGCTTCGCCCCCATTCCCCTGGGTCCTAAGTCCCCACATGTACAGCTTCGCACAACATCTATGTGACAACATGTATTTATAATAAATACCACAGCATTTAGAAAACGAAGCTGAAACACCGTGTGGACAGAGATCGTTTAAAGCGAAAACGTATTAGTGTAACAGAGGGGCTGAAGAGCCGCATGCGGCTCCGGAGCCACAGGTTACCGACCCCAGATCTAGTATGAGACAAGTCAGTGAGCCTCTGTCTAGAGAAGCCGCCTGAATTTTGTGTCTTCCTTTATATAAATATATACTTTACAACAATTGGTCCACAAATTCACCTGAATGCAGGACATGAAGTGTTTGACTCCCAAAAGTTTCTTGGAGAGGACATGCAGACCTTCCATTCAATGTTTGTCGTTACCCCCCCCTCTTGAAACAAAACCTATGACCTAATAGGTCCTTGACGGCATGTCCCATTGGCAAACCTTTGTATTGCTGAAACAGCGCCTCTAGGACAGAGAACTGAAGCTATTGGCAGAGATCACTAGCTGTGTGTATTTGGTGAGTCAGGCTGACATGAAATGACACTAATTGTGTTGGACAATATTGTCATCCTTAGGACCAATCATGCAGAATGTTGACTGTGCATATTCACACAGCAGCAGCAGGGCAAGACATTACTCCAATATATCTATACAGTTATTAATTGTTTGATGCTATATTATTGCTCTGAATGTCAACTAGAGAACCTTTAAAACTCAATACTCAAATGTGCAAGTCTTAAAGGGAAATGTAAATAAACTATTTTAATTCAACTTTAAAATGTAATGTGACGTATGTGTTGTAGCGTGAACGGTTCCAGCCCCGGGGAATGCAGGGCAGGCTCGCACCTAACACGGCGGTAACTCCGTCGGTAATCCGACCAACCTTAGTGGGTTTTCGTGTCCCACAGAGGTGTCAGGAAAATACCTTCGGCCTTTTATCTCTGAGTCGTTAGGATTACGGAATTATTGTCTTTCTGAGAGTCTTGTACGGCTACGCTCTAAGCGCTCTCAAAACCCTAACACCGAGTACTATTTTAAGGCATTAAGACCATTTTTTGACTAACAAGTCTAAAAAGTCTTCACCCAGGGAACTTACCATAAGCTCCTCTGGTAGAGTCTGTTGTCACCTGTGTATCACACGTTTCAGGGACAGGGGAAGAGGGTCAAATTATTCTAAAGAACCAGAGTACTTAGTTTGGATCCCAGTCACTTACAAATGGTAAGGCTGTGGTTTTATTAAGGTTTTCTCACAACAGTCACATACAACAATTTAAATTCAATGAAACAGTCTTAGTGCTTCAAGAGCTAATACTATCAGTCCTGGTTTAACAGGCTCTCTCAGTCAGCTCTCGCTGAGTTTTTTCCTTTTTTTTTTTTTCATGCTGTCTTCTGATAGCAGGAGCGTCTTCCAGTCACCCCTAAGGGTGTAAGACCTTTAAGCCTAGTCTTCTTCTCTTCTCACTCCTGCATAATTTGCCTAAAATGCCTATCAACCGCGTACCCAAAGTAAACTGACAGCTCTTATTGAACCATTGGGAGTACATGTATGGTTTTAGTCTTTATTGAACGGCAACACTCTGAAGTGTCTTCACAATCAGTCAGAATCACCGTAAGTGCTACTAGCATTGAGCTAATGCGTTTTCAGCACAGTGAAAGAGAAGCATTTTACTTCCGCCTAGATTTGTTTTGGCCAACAGATGGCAGCAGCTATCTATGGCTGGGACTTACAGGCTTGAAAATACTCTCATTCCACAGCCAACAGTCATGACACCTAGTATAAGTTAAAATTTGATAACAATACGACAGAAAATTTATATTTTACACGTGGTTTACTAAGAGTGCGGCCACGTAAAAACGCATTTGGAGGCTCACGTCATCACATCAAAATGCATATACTACGATAAACTACGTGCTCGAATTATGAGCTATAGTTTATTTATGTCATTGTATGGTTAACTATATCATATTTAACCATTATCAACTTTCATAGATTTTTGAAAATTCTCATGAACCAGACTTTAGTCTTCACACTCTGTCCCAGGAACTTGACTCATGGTTTCCAGTTCAGGTTAGAAAACTTTCCCAGCATTCAATCTGATAAATCTGCATATCCTTGGCTTCGTAATTTCATTGGCTATGTGGAGCCTGAGTTTGAACAGGATCTGTTGCGATTGGCTCAAGCTATACCCAAAGAAGTGAGGCGGGCATTGTCTTTCAAAGCGGACTCGTTGGCTGTTCCAGACTGTGGCCGGGCTATAGAAGCTCCTATTGGGTCAAATGAGCTGTCAATCTAACCGGCGGAATGTAGGCTCCATTTTGCGATGAAAATCTCCGCTCTGTTGACACGGAACATGAAGTTATGCCCGAAATATGATCGTGAGTTATCATATCTGCTGGCTAATTTGAAATGATGCAACAGCCCCCCGTGGGTCTTTATGGACGTACTAATGTGTTTTGGACTAAATCTTTTACTGGATTCGATCGAGTGGACCCTTAGCCACCTAGCAAGACCGTTTTTGCTGGACTAGCATGCACAAGGGGGACGTTATGAATCATAATCAGTGAGTCACGGCGATATTTTATCGGCTATATTTGGAGTGCTTGTTTGACAGACACGTTAACTGTACCTGCTGTTATTGTATCTTGAAATGGTTTGCATAAATCGAATTACAAGAACCGTAGCTTTCTAATGAGATATCACATTAATACTCATCGTTACAGGGCAGTTGTGTGCATAACACAAATATGCAGTTATCACTCGCAAGAGGGAAGTGTGATCCAGTCTCTATGCTGGAACCGGCTCTTCTTCTGATAGCAGAAGCCTCTTCCAGTCACCCCTAAGGGTGAAGACTCTAGTCACCTCTAACAGTGAAGACCGAGTTCCCTCAGTTATGCTGCTGCTTTTATTCTGGTCTGAGACTGGTACCTCCCCTGGTTTCATGCATCACTCACACATGAGTCTTCCTGTTTTCAGGTCAAACACAGGAAGTAAGGATCATACAAGGCTTGAGTGACTATTTTATATAAGGTGTCTATGCAGTTTATGTTAAATCACTTCTATCATGAAATAAAACAGGTTATATGTTGTAATAGTTATATTTGTATGCTTTCATACTTTTCTACAATCTTCTTACAGTATGTATTGCAAGAACATCAGTCTGCATTTAAAGTGGGATTATAGAATCTGTTGCTGCTTTATCCCGTATGAAAACCCACACAGCTTACCCAGTGTTCTGATGTAAACAGTCCTGCCGTGTTAACTGTAGTCCAGCTGATCAAAAACTAATTTTAAAGAAACTTCAACTGAGTACTGTAAAATGTTTGGCAACTCCACACTGTTGTTTAACAGGCAACACTGTCTTCTCTCCTCTGACACAACTTGTAAAAACTCTGTATCAATTAGTTCATTTTAGTCCGTCACAATTATTGTCACCTGCGCTCACTCAGATCCTGATGCAACTTGCAGTCAGTGTAGTTTTGTCAAAAATATTCTGCAGTATTGATACATAGGCAGCAGCTGCATTTTCTCCTCTCTTCTTCCCGACATTGAGTTGACACACTCATGGCAATCTAACTTTTCCATTTTAAAATGGTATTGAATACAGATGTTTTCAAGGTACTGTATCAAAATTTGAAATTCAAGTATCGTGACAACACTGTATCTTGTCAGAAGATGTAGCTTGGTAGAAAAGACATAACAGCAGTGTGACACAAACACATAACTATAATAACTATGACGGAGTAAGTTGTGTAGCTCTTTTCCTCTGAAGGTTCATGTTATCAAACCATCTCTACACAGCTGATTAGTCTAGCTCTTCCACAGTTGAGCCAGCAGCAACATTACAGGTGATGTGGCTGATAATCTGAGAAATTTTGCAATGTTCTGAAAATCATAAATTATTGATAATAATTCTCCGAGGATGTAATATAAATGATCAAAATAGTTTATTTGAAAATAAGCGAGGTGATAGAGGAAGAGTTGTGTGTGTGAGTGATGCATCCCTTTGAGTTGGAGTCCTCTATCTTACTAAGCTCCATAAACAAAAGCACATCCAGGCCAACAGGATGTGAGTTTTGGAGCCTGCCCCCTGGCGATGTGCTGATGTGTGTTTTGATAGAGCAAATTATCCTGTTGAAAGAATCACTGGCAGGACACACACACACAAACAAACACACAGTTCATTGACACCTCCGCTATCCCCGTGCCAGTCAGTCCTGCTTGATGCTGACTCTTTCTTGAGTTAGCCTGAATTTAATGAATTTGCTTCAGATCAAAATCAACAATATGTTAGTCCGTCCCCTAATACTTTTTGACTTCCCTTCCTGTGTCTGTGGCAGCTTCAAACCCATTGGTTTTACTGTAAAAGCTTTAAAAACATTTACATGCATTTATGGTTTCATTTCTGATGACGGCTCACTATGTTTTCTAAGAACTACAGTGTGTGTGTTCATGGTAAAGTGTGGATAACTGATTAACGGATTTTTGACAACAATGGAACTCTTTAGCACAGAGAAATAATATCTGGCTTTGGATATCAAACTATGCTTTTTTTTAAAATGCTTTTTGTTTATTTGTGTCAGGTCGTCACTGTGACGTTCATCAGATGACTGGAAACTACATGTGGGATGAAGCCTCAAAGAAGGAGTTTCTGATTGGGACCAACCTTGACAGTCGGTTGCCTCTTTGGTGGGATGGATCAGAGCCATTATGGGTCACCCTGCAGAAACTGGGAAAGAAGGTTTTCATGTACTACTGGCCTGGTGAGCACACCCATTGTTAACATGAACACTCAACTGAAACTGTCTTCTATTTTCACCAATACAGCTGTCTACACAGCCTGTGTTGTGGCAAAATGACAAGAAGAGACGGCGAATTGGGGTTGCAACCCAGCGGGAAGTGTTTTAATACGAACAAACCAACATACAACAAGTTCAACAAATCCAATGTATTACTTTTCACAGCTTACTCTTATAGTCAAACTTCACCCCCCTTAAGTCACTTTCCACCAATCAAACCAGTCGGTTGAACCACAAACAAAGCACAAAGTTTGCAAAGTTTGTTGTATAGTTAAAGAAGAAATAGGCTATATAATGCGCTACTGGGGGAGATGATGAGACAGCGGTCTGCTGCCCACACTAGAGTCATTCAAAGCTATAATGCCACTATGTTGCTCCTTGGAAACGACTACAGCACCCCGGTTTATGATCACTTAAGGGTATAATATGCAACAATTACCATAAAAAACAATGTATGGTCTTATACAGGCGGAGAATGTGTTGTTACATTGCAGTTTGTTTTGTAAGTATTCCTGTGTGTATGTGTTTTCCCTGTCAGTCTCTCTGATGTATGGTGTTATTTCGAACAGTCAGTTTTAGTTTTAGAGCCGAGAGCAGAGAGAGAGCAGACAGCAGGATGAAGCCTGCGTCGAGCTGCATTCATTCAAAATACGGCACCATCCTGCAGGTTTCTGAGGATGTGGGGATGTGTTTATTTGTGCTTTTAAAATAGATTAGAATCCGAAAATAACATTTAATTATTGTGATTCACGGCTTCTCACTAACACCGGTCCCTCTCTTTATTCACACAAGATTGAAGCAACAAAAGGTTGTCATATTCAAGTAGAGTCACAAAGCATCCATCCATCTATTTTCTGCCGCTAATCCAGGGCCGGGTCACTGAGGAAACAGGATTAGCAAGGTGGTCAAGAACTCTCTTTCCCCAACAAAGTTTTCCAGGTCTTACTAGTGGATCCCAAGGCATTACCCAAGGCAGATTAGATATATTGTCTTCTACCAGTCAGGACGCTCACAGGAAACAGAGGAAATGCTCCCAGGAGGCATCCTGATCAGATGCCCGAACGATGTCAACTGACCCCTACATAATCTCATTATTTCGGTCACTACCCAAGTAGCCTCAGACTTGGAGGTGCTGCCTCTCATGTCCCGACTACTACAACCAAATCACATCTGGATGGGCAAACTCCCATGAACCCCCAAACAACCCTGCAAGGGTAAAGAGATGGTCCACTGTTCCACAACCAGGACGGAATCTGCATTGCTCCTCATGCATCTGAGGTTGAATTATTGGTTTGCGCTACCTTTGCAGAACCCTGGAATCAGCTTTTCCTGGGAGACAGTGCAGTGGGATCTAACCTACTTTTTAAAAAAGGGAAAAGCCACCCACCCATTCCACACACACTGTCTTTGACCTCTGTGGGACCCTGAAGAGGTGTATCAACCAAGACAGCCAAACAATGTCCAGCGCTTTCAGAATATCAGGGCCAATTTGATCAATACATGGCATCCTGCCACTGGGGAGCTTTTTAAGTACCTCTGAGTCCTCTGCCAGTGATATCGGTGAGGTTTCCCCCAAATCTTCAAGTGTGCTTCCTGAAAGGACATGTTGGTCAGGTTCAGGGCTTCCTTAAAATCAAAGTCAAGAGGGGAAAGAACCAAATCTGGTGTGGGAGACGGAGCATACCTGTACCAGCTAGAAATATTCAACTCTACGCATGGCATTAATTCTGGAACTTAACTGCTGAAGAGGGGCTACACTCTCTTCTTTTTTAGAGTTCCCTAGGGTGTGAGGTGCCTAGCAGGTTTAGGGAAACTCACCAGAGGAAGGCTCAGACTGTTGATTGTCTGAACCTTGTAGTAGGGCTTCGTTATTGGACTTCTGTGCTCGCCATGATTCGGCCATAACAAACACCTTGTTCAAGCAAGGTGATTCATCAGTGTACTTGGTACCAGAACAAAAGATTGTTGATAGACTTTGTGGTTGTCATTCAGATCTGTGGTCACGTGTTTTGGACACTTGTGAAGAGAGAAGCAGAGCTGTCAACTGATTACCACCTAGTGGTACATTGGATCTGATGGTAAACCTAAATGTGTAGGGAGGGTGAACTAAGAACGTGTGGCTGAGGCCCCTGTCCTACCTGCATAAGAATTTCTCGTGCATCCAGGGGGAGATTGGGGACATGGAATCCGAGTCGGCAATGTTCAAACCCTCCAATGTTAGGAGTTGTGGTCAGAAGGTTGTTTGTGCCTGTCATGGCGGCAGCCTAAGAAACCCACTGGAGAACATGTGTGGTGAAGGAGGCGTTATAGCTGAAGAAGGCGGTCTATCTAGCTTGGTTGTCCCAGGGATCTCCTGATGTAGCAGACTGGTCCCAGGATCCTGTGTACATTCCGCAATTTCACTGTTCAGCACTTCACTGTTGCAAACATAAACATTTATTTCCTGTGTCAGGGCAAGGAATTTATAAAAGGACAGGTCATTACGTCACGAATGAACTAAAGTTACCTATGTTTAGCTAACGTTAGCCAGCCATATCTCTGTTGAGTTGTCCCACATTAATTTGGAGATAAAACCATCAACGTTAGTAAGAAATAATCTTTCATTTGTCTTCAGGCTGTGAGGTGGAGATTCTGAGTGTCCATCCATCATTCTGTGAGGAATATGTCTACAACCCATCAGAGAAAAACCTCACAGAGTCAATAGTGAATGCTCTTAATGTCCTGAGGTAAGAACACAATGATGTCCTGTGATTCATGGCTTACTTTTAGCCCTTGCATGGAAAAGAGATGTCAACTTGAGACTTGAGTGTCATGACAGTAAAAACGTTTTAAAGTTTTGAGCTGGGGAAAAAACAGCAAAAGCCAGACCTTATGTTTATTATTAAACCTATAGAGATCCGAAGTGGGTTCAGTACCAGAAATCCAGAAAACCTCGTTCAAAAATCCCATTGACAGTTGCTAATAACTTAAAATTCAGCCTTTCTTAACAGTATCTTGTGTGGCTTGCTACCATGTTCAGATAAAGACTAGTTGTTTTTTTGACAGTCTAATACAGTTGTTTGTTCAAAATGTATATTTTATGGATATGGACGGAACCCAGTGACAATGACATAAGTACCAGCCCTGGGTTGCTTTTAACTCAACAAGTCGATCAGATGAACTGTTGTAGAGTATTACTAATAAAGATGTCCCGCAGATGGTAAAAATATAGTTCTCAAGCTTAACACAGCCTGAAAGGTGGACATTGTGTAGGCCCATGGTTTGTTTTCATGAATAGGCACTAATGATACCAGCAGATACCTAAAGGTGTGTGTGTGTGTGTGTGTGTGTGTGCGTGCGTGTGTGTGTGTGTGTGTGTGTGCGTGTGTGCCTGCCTGCGTGCGTGCGTGTAGCTCAGGCGAAGCGACCATGGCAGCAATATATTATGAGAAAATAGATGTGGAGGGCCATCACTTTGGTCCAGAGTCTCATCAGGTTAGAACAGCTGTACGACAACTGGATCTCGCTGTGCAGACACTCAACCGCATAATAAAAGTCAGTAATATCACTACTATTGTTACTACAATTACAGCTAGTACTGCGCTCCCTGTCATGCAGTTCATTTTCCATCTGTTTCTGTCTCTTGTGATTCTTTCAGGAGAAAAAGATGGTGAACCAGCTGAACATTGTGCTATTTTCAGACCATGGTATGACAAAGATCCAGTGGATGGAGAAGGTCATAGAGCTGGACAAGTACATCAACATGTCAGCTATTGTCAAGATGATGGACAGAGGACCTGTAGTCAGTCTGTGGCCCCAATATAATAAGCACCAAGAGGTAAAGCCACAATCTGTATTTCCTTTCACAAGAGAGCTGGGATTGGCTTTGTTCATGGCTGATAAGCCAGTAAAGGCTCATGTTCTTTTAATGACTGCTTGGACCAGGGTTTGAATTATGGGGAGGTCTGAACCCCCTAATTAAGACTTGGACCCCCTCCCAAAAGAAGCAAAAACACCATGTCCGTGAGGTCAAAACATTTATACATCCTTCTTCCCTGTAATCATAAATAATACAATATATGTCAGGAGAGACTTCCTTTAGAGGGAACAATATATTCCTTACATGTAGAGAGAGTTGTGAAATTGTGGGTTGCTACAGATGTTTAAAATAACAATTCGGCTGATAGCCGATGCCAAAACCGATGTTTCTGATGATGTTGTTACTTTGTTTTTGTTGTTATTTATTCCACTATCTTGCCAGGGAAACAAAGACATCTTCCTATAAAAATATAACTGAGCTGTCATCTAGCAATTCATTACACTGGCTTTGAATGAGCACCAATTCAATCATACAAATTGAAACAATTGATACAGCAGCTTTACGACTACCTCCTCAATGAGAAGAATGTTTCAGTACACAGCCCAACAAAGATATTTGTTTCCCATACATAGGTGGACCACCCGAGTATAATAACCACCGTAGTTGGCAACCCATTTCAGCAATTTTTATTTTTTTATTTGCCCAATAGAACAACACCTTTCACGATTGATAAACTAGTGGACTAGTAGCGGCAAAACACACCCACGGTGAAATATTCCCACATGGCCGACCCTTTTTCACTTTAATTGGTAAACAAACCACACATGCGCAAGTTACCCGTCCTCCTGCCAGAGTCGTGTCCAGCTAGTGGCTTCTTCTCCGAATCAGTGGCTGGTTACTGTTGCTGAGACCGACCGCGAATAACCAACACAACAGTTAGCCGGTGCTAAACTGATGAAACACTACAGATAAACAACGGCCACTGCCATTGTTGAATATCATTTTATTTGCTTATAAGGAGATGGTAGTCAACAAGGCGAATATCAGCTGACACCGATGTTCGGCTGATAAATCGGTGCATCCCTGTTGACATGTTGCACAATACATTTAAATGTGAAGTGTCTTTGGTGATAAGACCCATTGTGATGTGGTCTATATAGTTCAGGAATATTTCTCCCGGAGTCTAGACACTGGTGTTGTTGGTAAGGAGAGTTGGCAGAAGATCTGAATGATGGGCTGTGGAGCAGGACTGGGCACTGAAGTGATGGAGACTGGAGATGAAGGGACGGAGGGGGATCTGGTTGGTTTATCTGAAATGACCACTGACGCAGCAGAGAGAAAAACAGTTTTTAAGTTTCACAGGAAAGATATGATTGGCTTAAGGGAGATAGTGTCAAGATCTGGTCCATACTCAGCTGATTTAGTAGTAGCTGGAGAACCGGAGACAGAGAGGTTGGGAGTGAATAGGAGCGTTAGGAGAGTCTCCCTGACTGAACTTCTGCTAAGTTTCATTTCCCATATTCATGCCTGGAAGCATCTTGTAATACGATTTCAGACACCCCTAAAGTGAACTATACCATTTCCTAACCTTGAGCCTAGTTGCTCGCATGTGTCACACAAGCCAGTGAAAACACTATCTATGCAGATAGTTTAAAGCACTTAACTTTCTTACCTTCAGAGTGTCTGAATCAGATTGTGCCAAGTGTCTACACTGTAATGGATTTGATTTATTATTATCTACAGACTGCAGACATTACGTTGAACGAGCAAGATACTCTACCATTGTAAGAATTCAACAGGCAAAAGAAAAAGAGATTTAAAAACAATTAACATTCATTGAAACATTAAAAAGTCATTAAAACACTAAAAAGCAGTGTAAGTGTCACAGCTCTGCCACTACTATCCTGTTTTTTTCCATCTCTCACTCACCTAATCAGTTTATTCAGTGCACCTGCCAGTCACACCCAGCTCATCAGCTCATCACTCTCACCTGCTCACTCTGCTGCTTCACTATTTAAACCACAGTCTCACACACACACACTCACTGCCAGATCGTTCTCCGCTTCCATGCAAGACCTTCCAGCATACACCCTTGGACTGATTCCCTGTTACCGGCCCTGCCAGCATTGGACTACTCCGCCTTGCCTCTGCCCCGGTAACTCACTCAGCCTTCTGTCTCCGACCACGACATCCTGCCGCTTTTTCCCTGTGAATATTCTACATGTTGTGTGTGTCCAGAGGAAAATAAAGCTTCGATTCAAACTATCCCTGGTGGCTGTCGTACTGCTCCTGGGTCCTTACTACACCCATTACAGTAAGAAATAAAATACAGTAGTAAAATGCAGGACATTGATTAATATCCTTGAATCTGGTTCAATTAAAGGCAGCAGCAAACGGAAAAGTCTTCCGTCTTGATTTAAAGGAGCTGAGGGTCTCAGCAGACCTGCAGCTTTCAGGGACTTTGTTCCAGATATGTGGAGCAGAACAAGTGAACACTGCTTCTCCATGTTTAGTTCTGACTCTGGGAACAGAAATTAGACCGGTCCCAGACGATCTAAGGGGTCGGATGGTTCATAAGGTAGCAGCAGATCAGAGGTGTGTTTTGGCCCTAAACCATGGAGTTCCGTCAAAAAGGAATTTGTTGGATAGTTAAAGGGTGCCGAACGAGTGCTGCTCGCTTGCCACAGTCCAGACACCTGGCTGACGCTTGCCATAGACTAGCCACTGCAGTGCCACAAGGAGGATCTCGGCCTTGCTGGGTTGAGGGATAAGTTGATGGTTTGTTATTGAAACCATACACTGTGTGTGTGTGTTATTCCAGGTGTATGCCGCATTGTCCCTGATCCCTAACATGCGTGTCTATGCCAGACAGGAGATCCCTGAACGGTTCCATTTCAAAGGAGGGCAGTTTGTTTCCCCCCTAACACTGGTGGCTGATCCTGGCTGGTTTATCGCTGAGGTAACTTCATTAATACACACATTAAGGTAACACTGAATGTAACATTAACTTAGGTATGTTTCAAAGAGAACTCAGCGGGGCACCTTTACAATTGAAAGTCCTCTGTTGACTTTAGAAATAGCAGTTGACAAAAGGTCCATTTAGCAGCTATTCTGGATCACATGTGGTTCGGTATGGTTTCAGCCAATAAAATCGTACTTTATTCTGGATCTTTTGTGTAAATCATTTAGTGTGTGCATGTTTGTTTGTGTGTCCCTAGAACAAGGCAAAACTTCCATACTGGAGCAACGACTCTGGGGAGCCGTCACTATGGCAAAATGGTTGGCATGGTTATGACAACGAGTTCCTCGACATGAGAGGGATTTTCTTGGCGACAGGACCTGGTAACAAACGTTTCATATTCTAATAGTACAGTCTGTGCATTATTTTATTCCTATGATCGCTCTGCTTCACAATTCAATCTGTCCTAAAGCAACCCCACCCCTCCTGTTATCCACTATCTAAAGCAGACATGACCAGCAGCCAGGTTGGACTGGGTCCTGGGTGATTTTTGAGGCAGATGGAGAATATGAATGTATGGCCAATAGTTTGTGAAATTTAAAAATAGTAAATTGTAATATCAGGGCACTATTATCATCCAAATCATTATTCTTCAACTTGAACAATTTTTTTTTATTTTTACGTTTCTACATCTGAATACTACAAAAAACATTTAGACGTGTGGAAATTGATTCAAGATTTGCATTTTTCGGCAATAGGATGACTTCTGTTCTGGAAACTGCGACACAAGGTCTCTAGTGTGTGTGTGTTTAAGTTTCATGAGGTTGGAATTATCCTAGAGGTCACATCTGCATGGATTTGACCCCAAACTGCATGGGATTAGGATAAAGTGGGCATGTCTGTAAAAGAACCCATTCTAATTCTCATATCTTGAGGGGAGAGGTCAAAGGGGGTCCTTTTGAAAGTCACCATACCAAAATGTAGCTTAACTTTGGGGCATTATTCAGCATGAGACGGTTGGTACCAATGGATTCATTAGGCTGTCTAGTGTTGTACGATATCAGTATCTTAACATAAGCTTTAAGGCCTCAAAGAGTTCAACAGGTTACAAGACTTTGAACTGTTTAAGTTGAAGTCAGCTTTTTGATAACTTCTACAGTTTTCACATTATCACAGCTTATGTTTCAGCTGTTTTTAGACATCGTCTGAGTTTGTAATAGGTGTGTATTGTGCTGCTTGGAGTGAGTAACCTCACAGTTAATGTGGAGAGGAGCTTTAACATTTTCGGGAAAAAATATGTTAAACTTGCTGACATTCCCACAATTTTCACTTTTCATGCCTAATTTCTGGTCAAAACGTAGAACATCTGGTGCTGGTCGCAGACATACTATGGAATCCAACGGACTTACTCATTTGGCCATAAGAGCCTGAAAGTGACAGGAACACCAAGCAACTGATGTTAACTCTGACCAAAAAGATCATGTGACTGAGTCACTTAGCAGTTACCATTACCACGGCAACCTTTGATTGCTGCTAGACACACAGGTGATTTAGATGAGCTAATTAGTGCAGTTTAATTGCGCATTTTTCAGGTTTTGCTCCACTTGCAGTACTGGTACTGTCAGCCAAAACCTCCATTCAAACCTTCCAATGTTCCACATCATTCATACATTATTGGTATTTTTAAAGCTGGCAATAGTACTAAATGTCTTCAAATGGTTCAGAATGCTGCAGCTAGAAACTTAACTAAGAACATTTGGATTCATTTTCACACCAGCCATTTGACATTTATATAACAGGGTAAACACAGGTGTTGCTAAAAGTCAATTAAGGTCCCATTCTAATTAGTCTGTCACAGCCATTCCATTGAGCCAACAAGTACAATACCAGGGCCTAAATGGAACAATGAATGTTATCAATGATGACATAGTAATCAACATGTAAAATTGGCTGCTGTGATGGGATCTATTTCACCAGTTTTAGCTTCCTTTCATTGGCTACCTATTCATATCATATATTTTAAATTGTTAATGGGCACACCCCTTTCTCTGAATCGGAAGAAACTGTTTATTTGAAAAGTACGTTGCACATACAAGGAATTTGGCTTGGTGATTTGGTTTCTACCTGCCTGATCTCCTTTAACATTATACTCTAATCAGAACTCTCGGAATACAGTGAAAACTAGGTCAGCAGGCCAAAGGGCTTTTACCAGAGACGGCCTGATTCTGTCTCGACTCCCTCCAAAATAAAAGCAAGTTTTATTTTCAAAATGAAAGTCCCATAGAGCAACTACACACGATAACGAGATGTTTTCCATGCAAATATGACTTTGTCTAACGAGTTAATTAATTCATTTTTTTACCTTGACAGTATTACAGTTTAGGTTTCGGCTTTTATAGAATGTATTTTGGTTTCTTGTATGTAATGCAGTTCAGCTTTCAACTCTGACAGTTTTACAATTCAGGATTTCTGTATTTTCAGTAATGCTTTGCAATTCATTTCTACTGTCAACATTCACATTTATTTGCTAATTTGAGATGTAGATTTAATTACATTTACTTAACTTCATTCAGACTTCAAGAAAAATTTTCGGGCTGCTCCAATTCGAGTGGTGGACATCTACAACGTGATGTGCTGGACGTTGGGAGTGAAACCTTTGCCAAATAATGGGTCCTGGTCTCGGGTTGAGTACTTCCTGAATGCCTCTTATAGTCCATCCCTACCCACAACCCTCTGCTGTATGGGAATGTTAGGAATACTATTTGCACTATGGGACTAAAGCATCAAAGAGTTCAGTGTTTATGGCATTTGATTGTATCTAGAAATGATCTGCTAGAAAGAATAAGAACAGTAATGGAAGCGAAATGAAAAAATCAATCTTGAAATAGTTAAGGACCAAGAACTTGAGGACTTAAAGTGCCTGGAGAGTTTTCCAGGACCTCATCCACACTGTCCAAATGGACCGGGAAAAAAATGCTAACCACTCGTCATCAATCATAGTGCAACATTAAAAGTTAAATGTACATGTCAGCTGGACTTTTTTTTTTCATACAAAGTTCTTTCTAGGAACTTCCAGGAAACGCTCAAGGAAATGATAGACCCATGAAGAAAAGCATTGCTGATTTCTGGGTATTTGTAACCTTGAAGCTGTTGAATGCAAACCTCTTCTCTTGTTTATTGCCATTGTTCTCCACAAAACTGATGCATAGAAAAAAGCCCGTGTATCCAGATAAGAAGGAATCGTTTTTCAACCACTTTCACACTACCTAACACTCAAACACCTTTTGGGGTTAAGTGTCTTGCTCAAGGACACATGCGACTAGCGGAGCCGGGGATCGAACCACCGATCCTCTGATTGAGGGACGACCCTGCTCTCCACTTAGCCCACAGAAGAGCACTTTTAAATTGATAGACTTCATAAAGTACATAATGCTGATGTTGCCTGCTTTCAATATGTGTAACAGCTAGAATAGGAATTAGGAGGTATAATGAAAGCCATACTTTCTTCTTTTGGCAAGGCACAGATGGGTTCACTCTGTATGATGGTTGATTATAAGTGAGATGCTTATTTGGATTGGGCAACAACTTTATTCCATTGTGCAATCCTGTATTGCACAAAGATAAAGCTGGACCTTGAACTCAGCTATTCATGTCTTTGCGTTGGATCTTTACGACTCTGTATGACGCATGCTTTGTGAAATGTGCTTTATAAATAAATTTGCTTTGATTTGGAAAACATGACTGTCCATCAGGATTTTATCATTGTGCCTAACCACTTTTGTGTAAACACTTTAGAATGAAGAAGAGCAGTGAATCTATTGGGGTTAATCCACAACGCTTTTGCTAGTCAAGAATATATTTCAGTTCGTGACAAAAGGAATTTATCATTTATATCAAATGGTTATTCAGTTAGATTTGGCAGAGCGGCTCAGCTGTTTGAGGGAGCTCTCAATGAATCATGAACAAATCTTAGCTAAATCAACACAAAATAGCACATTAGGAGGGAGCTAATGAGTGAATATCACGCGCCGAAAAAACCTCAGCATCTTTCTGAGTCAGGCCGGGTCTTGACTTCAGGAGTCTAACCCAGATTCACCCCTCCAAACAGAGGGCAAATCTGGTCCGGGACCTCGGTCTGTACCCATGTTCAACTCAGATTATCTGGTAATGTATACAGTCCAGTCTTAAACCTTCTGAACCATTCACAGCCTCATCGGGACTGCTCCGATATTATCAAACATGTTATATTCAAGGGCTTCAAATCTGGATGATAACTTCACTACTTCTTGAGCTGGACCATGATAGCTAATGAGAGAAAAGGTGGGGCAACAGTAATCGTTCTAGCCCTTGAAGCAAACATTAGATAGTAAACTACTGTTGACAGATATTAAAACTCCTCCAGTTCTCGCCAAAGCCATAGACTGTGGCTCAGTGTGTATATGTGTGTGTGTGTGTGTGTATATATATATATACACACACACACACACACACGTATACATATACAGTTGTGTGAAAAAGTGTCTGCCCCCTTCCTGATTTCTTATTTCTTTTGCATGTTTGTCACACTTAAATGTTTCAGATCATCAAACAAATTCAAATATTAGACAAAGATAACACAAGTAAACACAAAATGCAGTTTTTAAATGAAGGTTTTTATTAAAACATAAATTAACTGGTTTATCAAAGTAATTGAGATCTATCAGTCTGGAAAAGGTTACAAAGCCATTTCTAAAGCTTTGGGACTCCAGCGAACCACAGTGAGAGCCATTATCCACAAATGGCAAAAACATGGAACAGTGGTGAACCTTCCCAGGAGTGGCCGGCCGACCAA